CCAAAATAAATAATCGTTTTACTAGAATATCAAACAAAAAGAAAAGGATTATATATGTGTTAAAAATTAAAATGAAAATAAAATTAAATTAAAATATAATTTGATCAGGTAAAAATTCAAAAAAGTAATAAAGCCAAAAAATATAATTTTGAAATTAAGTATATATATATATATATATATATATATATATATATATATATATATATATATATATGTATTTATTTATACTTGTTTTTTAAAAAAAAAAAATAAAAATTATTTCTATTAAAAATTTAGAAATTAAGATATTCGGAAAAGATATATAAATAGAGATTTATAATTGAAGTATTTTTAAATAAAAAAAAAGTTATAAAAACTCTGATATTATATGCTCGGATTTTTCTCAATAATAATAAATTAAAAAGTTTTGAAGAAATCAGTCCAAAACTTAGATTTAAAGCTAAAAAATGCTTTTTATATTCTTTTTTTTATTTTAAAATTAAAATGTAAATTAAACTTAAAAAGATACTAATTTTGGAACAAATAGAATTCTTAAATAAACTTTAATTAATAAAATTTTAGATGACATTATAAATAATACTAGACGTATATTTTCTAATTTTTTTATCTAATAGAATTCTTTTTTTAAGAAAAAAATGAATTATTAATTAATAAAATAGTTTAAAAATTTAAAGAATAATAAAAAATAAATTGAAAAAGTAGAAATTAGAATATTCCTTTAGGTTTTTAATGATAATATAGAAGAAGATATAAAATTAAAATAATTAATAAGTTTTAATGGAGTCCGTTCTTTTATAAATTGAGAATAAAAAGTGGATATATAAAATAAGTTTATTTATAAAATTATTATCTTTAATATTTAATTGCATAAAATCAAAAAATTAATTTAATAAGTTAATTTTTTTTTTTAATAAAATATTATATAATTTTTAAAAAAATAAAAGAAAATCTAAAAAAAAACTTATTTTTAATTATATTTACATTGCAGATTATATAAAAAAACAATATATAGCATTAATATAATGAAAAACTAAAATTTTTTGTTCAATAATTTTTGTTCAATATATATATTTGTTTTGTTTTTTTGTTAAAAAAAATATATAATAAAATGTATAATTAAGTTGATAATTTAGATAAATTATAATAAAAAAAATAAAAAATGGGTTAATTCTTGAAAAAGTTAACTTTAATTAATTTTTTATATAAATAGAAAAAAAAATTAAAATAATAAATATTAAATATAAAAACAGATAATCATACATTAAAGAAAAATATTTACTAAGAGTTTATTAAAAAATAAATAATGAATTATTTAGTAAAAACAAAATAAAATTTAAAATAATTAAATATTATAAGAATACAAATAACAATAATAGCAATTAAATAAAAAAAAAGTATAAAATATATTCATTTATAATATATAAATTATATTTAGTTTAAAATATACATAACCTAATATAAAACCTATTATAAAATTAGAGAAAAAAATTATGGAAATATATAATAAAAAATGAAATAACTTTTATATAATAAAGTGTGAATTATTAAAAATATTTTTTTTGAAAATCGATGAATTAGAAAAAAAAAAATAGAATTTAAATTAATAAAAAGGTATACAAATATATATATATATATATATATATATATATATTTATATATTTTTATATATTTATTATATGATAATATATACATAAATTTTATATTGAAATGATTATTTTACTTGTAAAATAAATTATTAATCATATTAGATTTATAAAATAAATAATTATTATTATTTAAATAATTTCATAATTAAAATTTTTAAAAATAGATATTTATTGCAAATTTAATAAAAAAATATAGATATAATTAATAACTAAATAAGATATAATATATACATATATAATCTATATAAAAAAAAGTTAAATTTGTGAGAAAATAAAAGTATTAAAAAAGAATAAAGATAATATATAAAATAAAAATAAATAATAATAATAATAATAATAATAATAATAATAATAATAATAATAATAATAATAAATATGGCTATTAAACCCGTATCACATAAAAAAATTATTAAAAAAAGAACGAAAAAATTCGTAAGATTTGAAAGTGAAGATTTTGGAAAATTACGTTCTTCTTGGAGAAGACCAAGAGGTATTGATAATCGTGTTAGACGTAGATTCAGAGGATAAAGAAGTATGGTGAAAATTGGTTTTGGTTCTGACAAAGCAACAAAGCATTTACTTCCCAATGGATTCAAAAAATTCTTAGTTACTAACTTATAAGACCTCGAAGTTCTTTTAATGAACAATAGATAATATTGTGGAGAAGTTGCACACAATGTTTCAGCTAGAGTTAAAGCATAAATCGTTAAAAGAGCTGCTGAACTTGGAGTTAGAATAACTAATGGAAATGCTAAGGTTAGAACTGAAGAGAAAAAATGATGATAATTTATATAAAAATAAATAAATATAAATAAATAAAGATCGGGAAATATTTTTTTAAATAAAAGCTTTTGTATTTCTTTTTTTTTTTAGTAAATAATTTTATTTAAATATAATAATTTTTTTTTTAATTCTTAAACATATTATTTTTTTTTTTAAATTTTTTTTTTATTTTATATAATAAATATTTCTTTTTATTATGTTTTTATAAAATAAACTTTATAAATTATAACTTATTAAATAACTTTATATAATTAATTTTAATCATATTTGCTTTCTATTAATTCCATGTTTGAAAATTTCTAATTCAGCCTATTATGGTCCTAATAAAGCTGATAATATAACAGCAATAGGATTTCCATATTTTTTTTCGTAATTTTTATGTTCATATTCTTTAATTATTCGAATTGTTTCTTCTTTTTCGATATTTTTTAAATATTTTTTTTTAGAATCAAGTTTATTTTGCATTTCTTGAAATTGTTTAAAAAATTATTCTTTATTTAAATAATTATTTAAAGGGATATCATTATCATACATAATAATTTTATGAGATATTGGTTAGTTATCTATTTAACTATCATTAAAGAACTTTTTTTTTTTTTTTTTTTCGAAATAAAATATATGTATTATATTAAAAAATACAAATGAAATATTTGAATTTGTATAATTTAATTAATCAAAAGTATTTTTATCTTCTGATTTTTTCTTATTATTTAACTATATTAAATTTCTAATTTTTCTTTATGTCTTTTTTATTTTATTTTTTTATATTAAATAAAAATACTTACTTCATTATATATAATATCATTTGATGTTGATTTAGTTGCAAAAAGCTAATCTATTGTTCTTTCTAAAGTATTTAGATCATCTTGAGTTAAACCATCAAAAATTTATTGCATGTTTTACATCATTTATTTCTTTTATTTAAAAGTTTCTTCATTTTTTACTTATGCAATATTTACTTTACTTAAATTCATATTATTAACTACATTAACTTATTTGATATTTAAAATGCTAGCTTTTTTTGTTATTGTTTTTTTAATAAAAAAATATAAATATACATAATTATTATATATCTATAATATTACAATTATTTTATAATAAACTATTATTTTCATTTTTATAATATTCTCCATTATAAGAATGCAATTAATTATTAAAAGAGAAATATTATTCATTTATTTTTAAATTTGTTTTAAATATATCTAAACAGGTATTTTAAATAATCTAAAGTTCCTTTATTTCTTATAGTTTAGAGGATTTCTATAATAGAAATTCTTTACTTTTTTAGTCTAAGAAATCTGGTAAGTTTTATTCATAAACTTTTTCGCCAAAATTTAAAATGGTATGAATTATCCAAGAAAGACCTTCTTTTCTATTATCTTTTCCATATTTTAAAATTTCAAAGTAGAAAACTTTTTTAGCTTGATTTAATTATTTTTAATATTATTTTTTTATTTAAATTTCTTTTTCAATAGCATTGATCATTTACTTTTTTTTTTTTTATAAATTAATTTTTTTTTTTTTATTAAAAATAAATTAAATTCTACAAAATTATAATATTATTTCGTAGAAAAACTAGCATAGGAATCTTACAAATTCTATACTTCTTTTTCTAATTCTTATATTTTGTTTGAAATAACCATCACATTTTCAATTATAGCCGACCTACTAGGATTTTATGGTTGAATTTTTTTCAAACTACTACTCGTTACACTTTATTCTTCACTTTTTTTTCCAAAAATTAAATTATTTGTCATATATTTCTTTAAACTATCATTAGTACTACTTATATTATGATGACTTTCTTAAGGATTTTTAATTTATTAATTATAAGCTTCAATTTCTTATTTCAAACTTTCTTTCAGTCCTTTAATCTATCTCATTTTTAAAAAAATGGATTGATTTTCTAGCCTCAATACCCTTAAAATATTCTACTTATTAATAATTAGGTTAAATATATTTTTTTCTTTTTATAATAAATGCAATTCGACAATATTTGAAATTTTTTCGAAATTTTTGGCCCTTTCTACTATATTTAAATTCGTGTCAACATCATTATCTATAGAATAAAATGTGCACAAAATCCTTTTTATACCTTCAGATGTTAAATCAGATTGACTTAAATTATTATCTTCGTTTCCATTTATATTAGGAACTTATTTTACATATTTTATTATTTACTTTTATATTTATCGAATATCGTTTGATATATTATCTTCGTTTTCATTTTCATTTTCGTTTTCATTTTCTTTTTCGTTTTTCTTTATTTATTTTATTGCATGCTAAGACATTTGCTGAAAATTTTAATTACTTTAGTTTATTTCATCTCCTTTTTAGTTTATGTTTTTTTTAGATTAATCATTTGTTTCTGATATCTTTTTATTATTTATTAAAAGATTTTTATATTTATATATATATCATTATTTTTATTTATTTATTTTTTTTAAAAAAGACCGTATTTTTTCTTAATAAATCTGTAAATGAATTTTTTTTTGCTTTTTCTTATTGGCTTCTTAATATTAATAATTTTTTTTCTGCCAATGATTTTGGAGTGAAATCTTAATCATTTATTTTTATGTCAGTAAATTATTCACGGGCTATTATAAGTACACTTTATCGTGTTTTTTCAGCTATTTATTTCATATCTTTTATTCTTTTGGTTTAGACTTAAGGTGATTCTTATATTAAGTTTTGGCTCTATTTATTTTATATATATCTATTTTTTAAATTTTGTTTACGTTTATAATTAATTGTCTCTATGTGTCGTCATATTTTAGATTTTAATTAATATCTTGTTTAGCTTATAATTGTAGACTCTAAAGTTTTTTTTAATTTCTCATATGTTTTTGCCATTAATCAAGTTCTTAAATTTATTTTATTTCATTCTTTTTTATTTGGTTTTAAATTTGTTCATATTAAGAATGAGATTTATTTATTTTCTATATATAAGGTAATTTCAAAGTCTATTAAGGAGATTTTAGTTAAAATTCATTATTCTATTCTTCAAATTAATAATATCTAAAATAAAAAATAATATTATTATTATATTATGATATATATTTAGTTTTAACATTTCACTCATTAGTAATTTTTTTCCTGGTTTGTTTTTTAATTATTATAAGACATTTTATTCATAGTAATTATATTCGGGTCTTTTGTATATTTTTGTACCCCTTAAAAAAGCTATATCAGAAAGAAATCTTTTTGATTTATAATTTCCTTATTTTTTCGATTTTTTTTCTTTTACCTCAACTTAAATAATTTTGTAAAAGTCAATTTTGTTTAGTTCATTTTATTCAATTTTATTTGCTATATCATCTTAAAGTTATTTTTCAATGTTATAATTATTAAAATTTATTCTAATTAAGTCTTTTGCATTTGTATTGTTTATATCTTATTTAAAATCTATTAATCTTAAAAATTTTTTGCTTTATTAAAGTTTAAATTTTTCTTTAATGTATTAATTCATTTATAAGTATATTTAATAAAAAATATTATTTATGATAAATAAAATTTATTTTATATAAATTTAATCATTAATAATATTTATATTTTTATTAAATATATTAGTATGTTAAAAATATAAACAAATTTTTATTTTCTAATTTAAAATATAATTTCTTATTTTTTTTGATTTAAACAAAAATCAATAAAAAATATAAATAATAAAATCCAAAAAATTATATAATTTTTTATTAATAAATTAATAATTTATATATCTTTATTTTTTTTATAAAAACAAAAACTAAAAAACCAAAGTATTTTAAAAATAATTATATTTAATACAAAATATGTTGAAATAAATAAAATATTTATATGGTACTACCAAAATTATTTATGGAAAAAAAGCAAGAGATTAAATAATAAAAGGAATAGAATAATTAAATAAAGCAACATCATGTACTCTTGGTCCAAAAGTACATAAAATAGATAAATAAAATTACCTTTATAACAAAATGATAGGGAAGAAATGTATGTTTAGACAATGAATTAAGACTTCCTAGAATAACAAAAGATGGAGTAACAGTTGCAAAAAATATAATGTTTGTAAATACTATTTTTTTATATAAATATAATAAAAATAAAACATATAATAAGAAAAATAAATTATTAGAAATCGGAGCTTCTTTAACTAGATCAGCTTCTGGATATACAAACAAATTTGCAGGAGATGGCACTACTACAACAATCATATTAGCAAACTCTATATTAGAGTAAATATTTTATTATTAAAATCAAAATACAAAAAATTAAAAAAGAGAAGGATAAAAATATGTAAATTTTGATATAAATCCGATAGAAATGAAAAAAGGAATGGATATTGGCAAAAAACATATTCTTGAATATTTAGAAGAAATTTCAATAAAAGTAAATACTAAAGACTAGCTTAATAAGGTTGCAATGGTTTGCACAAACCATGATTAAAAAATGTCTAAATTAATAAGCGATGCTTTAATAGAAGTAGGATTAGATGGTATTATAGAAATTGAGCCTGGAAATTAACTGGTTAATGAACTTTCTGTAAAATTAAATATATATATAAAAATAAATAAATATATATATAAAAATATATATATATATATATATGTATATATTTATATATATAAACATAATATACATATATATATATATATAAATATAAAATATTTTCTTATTTTAATTTATATATAAGTTTACTAAAGGTATAACATTAAGTAGAGGATATGCATCTAGAGAATTAATAATAAATAAATAATCCAATAGTGTAGAATTAAATTATCCTCTTATATTAATAGCAGATTTAGAAATTAAATAAATTCGGGAAATAGTTCCTGCTTTAGAACTTGCTAAAAAATTTAATAAATCATTATTAATTTTTGCTAAAGATATATCAAATGATGTTTTATCTAGTATAATCTTTAATTAACAAAAGAAAATAATTAATGTAACTAAAAAATATATTTTTATTTTAATATACTAATATAAATATACATATAAATAATAACAAAAATATAGTGTTGTGCAATAACAGTACCTGGAATGGGTAATTACTCACGTGTTTTATTAGAAGGTATAGCCTTATTAACAGGCGCGACCCTATTCGAAAATTTAAATTACGAATTATTTTAAGAAATACAATAGAAAGACTTTGGGAAATGCCAAGAAGTATTAGTTTCTGAACTTGAGACTTTTTTTTAGGGCACATAAGGACCTTAAGATAAAATAAACTAAAGAGTAGAAGAATTAAGAAAATCCATAAAAAATTCTGATAATGAAACTTCATAGAAAATCTTGAAAGAAAGACTGGCTAGATTTACAGGAAAAATGGCCATAATTTTATGCGGGGGAAATACTGAATTGGATATTTACGAAAATAGAGATAGGTTAGTTGATGGTTTAAATGGTGTTAAAAATGCTATTAAATATGTATATATATAAATTTATATTTTTTTATTTTATTTTTTATAGGGAATTGTAACAGGAGGAGGTACTTGTTTATTAAAAGCATCTTAATTATTAGATTATATAGAAGTGGAAAATTTCGAATAAAAATGTGGACTAAATGCTCTCAAAACCGCACTACTTAAACCTACTTAGATTTTATTGGATAATGCGGGGTTTAATGGGAAATATATCGTTTAAAAAATTCTGGAAAAGTAATAGGATGATCCATATATTGATATGATTTGAATACTAGGTTTTTTTTTTTTTTTTTTTCAAATAAAATAAAGTATTTTGTATTTTTATATTTTAAGATGAATATGTTAATTTTATAGATAGAGGTATTTTTGATTCTTTAACAGTTTCTAAATCAACTATTGAAGATTCTATTGGTGTTGCTTCGATGATATTAACTACTGAAGTTGCGGTTATAAAAGAAAAAAAGCTATACACGTATAATAATTTTATTTAAAATTTTTCTATTTTCTTATTTTTTTTAGCTCCAAGCTTAAAAAGTTTTAAAAAATAGATATTTTGAGAGAAATTATTTAAATTTTTTTTATATATTATTAAAAAACTTTTATATTAAAATTTATATAAAAAAAAAACTAATTTAAATATAATTATTTTTTATTTAATAATAAAAAAAAAATAAGAAAAAGGCACAATTTTATACACGAAAATTTATTTTATAAAATAAAAATATATTTTATTTTTAGTTTAAAAAAAAAAAGAATTTTTTTTTTAAAGAGTTTATTTATTTCTAGTTTATTTTTTATTTTTTTAAAAAAAAACATTTAAATTTACAAACATATACAAAAAAAAAATACATATATATATATTTTGTTTATCTTTTATATTTTTTTAAAATTTTTATATTATTTATTAATTTAATATCATCCTGATTTAAAAAGCAAAACTGATTTTCTTAATGTTATAAGGTCAAAAAATGTTAAAGAAGTAGAATCAAAAGTTAATGAGCATCCAAAATTTTTTCCTAATAATACATTACCATTCACCATCTCCTATATATTTGAAAATTTTAAAATATAAATTTTTATATATATATATATAATAATATATGAATATATATATATATATTTATCATCATATTAAAAATAATAACCAATTTTAAATTCAGGCTATGATTTTACATATTTTACTAATAATAAAGCCATATCTTTTTCTAAAGCTTAGGAATTTTCTCTTATAACAACTTCTGCTTCTATAAATATAAAAAATATATATTTTTTTTATAAAAAAATTCAATAATTTTGTACATCTAACTACTTTCTTAAATAAAGGCTAGGCCATATCGTTAAATCTTACTTAATGAAGAGGAAGGGGTTCTTCAATCTTTGGTTCTTCATCAGAATCTGAATTGTTCATATTTTTTTGATTAATATAAAAAAATTAATTTATAAAATAAAAATATATATGTATTTTTATTAATTATATTTTTTTTTTATAAATAAGAATATATATATATATATATATTTTTATTTTGTAACTTTTTTTTTTTGAAAAAATAAATAAAGTTTAAAATCAAAAATATGTTAAATAAAAATATAAATAAAATATATTTTTTTTTGTTTTTTTAAAAATTATATATATTTCTTTTTTTATAAAAAAAATAAAAAATAAAAAACAAAAAAATAGAAAATAGTATTTATACAAAATTCAAAAAGGATTATTTAATTTTTTTATTTTTTTATTTTTTGAAAAAAAAAAAAAAAATCATATTTCATATTTTTAAATAATATCATATTTTTCATCTTCATCACTTATTTTAATATTGTTACTTATATTTTAAGATGAACTTAAAGAATTTTAACAATCACTATTAATTATATTATTTGAATCAACCGTAAAATCTAATTAAATTAATTTAGATAATAAAATAACAAAAATATTTTTTTACATAAATATTTTTCTAAAGAATAAATTTTATCATCCACTGGTGAATATAAAGACATTTCTTTAAATTCAGGATCAATATATCTAACATCTATTTCATTATCTAATTTAGGTACAAAAGGAGGTACAATCTATTATTTTTACAATAAATCCCATTTCAAATCCGAAAACCAGGGATGTTCTATTATTTCTTTTGCCCCATCTAAACTTCCTAATCTTTTATTCGGATCTTTTTCCAACAAACCATTAATAATACTTTTTAATTTCCCTTATATCTTAGGATGTGGGGTAGGGTTATTTTTTTCAATATTCTAAAATAATGTTTTTCTACTTTCATTATAAAAAGCAGGTTATCCTGTAACCATCTCGTATATTATATTTCCTAAAGTCCACCAATCGACAGGCTTACCATGTCCTTTTTATAATAAAATCTCAGGAGCTAAATATTCGGGAGTTCCACATAAGGATTTTGCTTCTTGACCTATAATATTCATTTTTGAAAGTCCAAAATCAGTTAATTTTATATATCCTTCTTTAGTTATTAGTACATTTTCGGGTTTTAAACTAATTTTATTTTATTTTAATGTTTTATATATATAAATTTACTCTCTATAAATGATGTTCTTGCTATGCAAATATTCGAAAGCTTTAACCATTTAAGCAGCATAGAATTTAGTTCTATTTTTTTTGTTTAATAAAATAAAATATATTTCTATTTTATTAAAATAAAATATATATTTATATATTTTATTAAATTATATTTTATCAGTATAAATATATATTTATATAATTATATATATATATATATATGTAAATTAAATTTAAATTATTAAATACTATTATTCTGTAAGCTATCTTTTTGCATATAATAACTAATATAATTCTCCTCCAGGACAGAATTCCAAAACAAAATAAATATATTTATTATCTTAAAAAGCATATTTCATTTTTACAATATATTAGTTATCCACTTATTACTATATTTAAATTAATAAAAATATAATAGAAACAAATATATTAATTTATATGTTTTTTTTAATTAATTATGGATTTAAATGACTAACATTATATACTATATATAGGCTTATTAAAAAATATAAGTACTAAAATGTTTCTTTCGCCAATAACATGCTCTCTTTGATTTTTTTCTTTTATTAATTATTTTTTTATAGCTTTTAATGCATAGACCTAATTATCATCTTTTTTCCTTACCAAAGAAACTTTAGCATAAGAACCTTTTCCTATTATTGTAAGTAAATAAAAAGAATCTAAAGAAATAGGCTTTTTTTCTTGATTTTCAAATTATATAAAGTCGTACAAATTAATATTATTATTTTTCATGTATATATAAAATATATATTTTTTTTTTATTATTTTAATTATTTTTTTAATTTTTAAAAATATTAAAAAAAAAAAAAATATTTTACATCTTTTAACTAAACTTTTATAAAAATTTAAATGATTTTAATTTTGAGGCTATTAAGAATTTAATATTAATATTTAAACAATAAATTTCGCTATAATTTATATTTATTAACGTAATAATTTTATTAATTATTAATTTTTAATATCTTATAACTTTAATTTATTAAGGTTAAGAACAGAATTATTATATATTTTCATAAAAAAAAAAATATACAAATATATATAAATTTATATATAAATATATATATATTATTTATACTTAAGATTAATATTGACTATTGTAAAAATATATTTATTTTACTTTTTATCATTTTTAAATATAAATATTATTCTTAATTTAAAATGTTTAAATATTGACATCTTATATAAAATATTATTGCAAATATTTTATAATTAATAATAATAAATATTAAAAATTATTAATATTACATTAATTTGTATATATTTATAAATTAATTTTTTTTAAAATAGTTATAATTTTTTGATATTTTAAATATGCTATTTAAAATAAAGAAATTCAAATGAACTATTTATATTTATTAACAATTATAATAAAAAAAAATATTAAAAATATACATAACTTAAATAAATAATAATTTAATTTTATGTATATAAATAATTTACATATTCTTTAAAAATTCTTAATGAGCATTTAAACATTTTTAATTAAATCAATTTTATATAATCATTGATAATTAAATATATTAACATATTTTTAATTTAATATTTATATACTTTAAAATAAAACATATCACATTTTGAAATAATTTTTTTTTAATTTTTAATTAACATTAGTTAATATAAAAACTTATTCAAATAACAAATATATTTACTAAAAAATTTTTTCTATATTTTCTCAAAATAATTAATAAATGAAAATATTTATTTATAAATTAAATTTAAATATTAATTGTAAACTGTTAAAAACCAAATAAAAAATATAGATAACAAAATAAAAAATTTTTAAATATATTATATTGATAAACTATATATAATTTATAAATAAATATTTTTTCTATTAAATTAAATTATCGATTTAATAATATTAATTTAAATTTTAATAAAAGTAATAAATATTATAATAATATAATATAATAAAGTTATTTATTCATATATTATATTTATTTTTATTTTTATAATGATATTTACTATTAATATAATATATAAATTTATAATCTTAAAAATTAATTTATTTTTATTTTATAATTACTAAAAACATCGATGATTTTAGAATTATTTGTTTAAATATTTTCATCCTCATTTCTGATTCAATCTATTTTTTTTTTTATTCTTTTTTGCATTTCAAATATAATTTTTTATACTTGCTCTATATTATTATATTTTTATTTTAAAATGAGTAAATATTTTATTCGAATATTTTAAATTTATTAAAATAAAATATTTATAATATTTATTTATTTTGAATGAACAAAAATATCAATATCAAATATAAATATTATTAAAAAAAAAAAAAAAATCTATAAAAAAATAAAAAATAATTAATTTTAAGTATTGAAATTAAAAAAAAACAGAGTTAGAAAAAAAATAGTTATTTATTTTTCCAATAAAGATAAGTAATATATTAAATTATTAAATTAAAATTTAATTAATTTTACTATTTATAAAGATTGATTTCATATTAAAAAATTAAATATAATTTTTAATTATATAATTTTTAAAAACAAATTATTTATTATAAAGTAGATTCATTAATTTATAAGTTATTATTAATTAAATTATAAAATAATAAATACAAACTAATACATAAATAATATAAATAAAGTATAGTTTAATTATATTACTTTTTAAAAAATATAATTATTAATTAAAAAAACATTTGATATATAAGAAATATAAATAAAATTTAAAAAAAAATAAAAATTTTGATTAAAAATATATATAATATATAAGTTTTAATACTAATTTAGTATATTATACTAAAATATTAATTAATATTAAATAAAAAAACATTAAAATATCAAACAAAAATAATAAAATTATAAAATAGTTTAATAAATCAATCATAAAAAAATATATTAAACTTATATTAATTAATTCTAATAAATAAAAGATTTAAAAATTAAAAAAAAAAAAATAAAGAATATTATGTAATATATTTAATTTTTAAATTAAAAAAAAAATAAAAATTATTATTTAAATTAAAATATAACTTTTAATTAATATAAAATATATATATAAATATATATATATATATATATATATATATATATATATATATATATTATTATTATTTTTTAATTTAAAATTAATACTATTAATAAGAAACAAATAATTTAAAATGTAAAATTAAGATTAATTAATAGGTATTGAAAACTAAGCGTTTGAAGTATTAGAACGTGAATTTTAAGAAGTACTTAATGATTTAGCTGCTGATTAAAGTTTGGATCGTTTTCGTCAAGAATTCGAAAAATTTCATCGTGCTTTAAAAGTTTCTTAAGAAAATGAAAAGCGTTTACTTGCTAAATGTCGTGAATATACATAAGATATAGGTAATCATACATCTAATTTGTAAGGTGCTTTAAAAATGACATAGGAAGATAATACTACAATAACTCATTTAAAACAAGAATTAGAAAAAACATACAAAATTCTAGAATTATCTAAAGATAGGGAAGAAAAAAGCAAATAAAAAGTTGAAAATTTATATTCAGAAATTTAGCATTTAAATCAATTAATTGAGAAGGGATCTGCAAATGCAACTGGATAAACTGCAAACGTTCATGATATGTTAATTGCTTAAGAAGAATTATTAAAGGAATGCACTTAATTGAAAAATACTATTACAGATGTAGCAGAAGATATAAATTCATTGAATGATAAAATTAGAATGGCTGAAAATGAAAAAGGATAAATATAGAATGAATATAATAATATATAATAATAAAAATAAGAACTTGAATTATTAATAAGTAAAGACGATCAGTAGAAAAAACAAATTTAGTAAGATTTAGAAAATATTAAGAAGGAATATGAAAGTTAAAAGAAAAAATAAAACGATTATATATCTTAAAAAGGGATTAAAGAGAAAACTTAAATTGATAATAAGATTAGTATAAAGAAATAATAAATATAAAATAATGATTTGGTCAATAAAAAATTAAAAGCTGCAAGAAAATCAAAAGAAGAACTTATTGAAAGATTAGATAAAGTAACAAATGATATTTTAGAATATAATTCTAAAATTTAAGAATTATTGGTATTTTATTATTATTATTTTTTTAAAGTTATATATATCATTTAAATATTTTTATTTTTATTTTTTTTATTAAAGGAAAACGAAAGATTAAAAGATTAATAATTAGAATATGAAAATAATCGATATGAATAATTATCAAATTAGAAATATAAAATTTTAAGCTAAATAAAAGAATCTTAAGATCTTAAAGAAATTTCTGAAAGAACAAAAGAAGCTTTTTTATAAGGAATTAATATGTTAGAAAGTGATATATAGGATTAGAAAAAAAGAGCTTTTGAAGATCGCAGTTTATTAGAAGAATTGAGAAGAAATAGGGATATTTTATAAAAAGAAATCGATAGAGCCGACACTAATAATAAGAAATAGGAAGAAGAGGTTATTTAATTAACTAAAACTATGAAAGAGAAAATAAATGAATTTTCAGGAATGAATAAATAAATGGATAAGTTAAACTATTAAATAGGATAGTTAAAAAAAGAGAAAGAAAAATATGGGATATAAGCGTCTTCAGCTAATGCAAAATATTTTCATGCTTTGGAAGAAATAAAACTAAAGGATAATTTAATATCAGAATTTTAGAAAAAAAATATAGAAACTTAGGCTAAGTTAAAATAATAATAAAACTTATATGAAACAGTTAGATAAGAAAGTAATTTATATTCAAAAAACCTAACAGAAACATAGGAGGATTTGGAAGAAATTAAAAGGAAATAAAAAACAGTTAATTAATAAATTTCCTAATTAAAAGAAGAAATTGACTCCAAATAAAAAAATTATTATAAGAACATATTAATCATAAAAAAAAAGATGAAATTAGTAAAGATCATACTGCTTAAAGTTAAAAATATAAAAAAGAAATCTACGAAAAAGAATAGAAAATAAAAGCTTTTTAATAAGATATAGCTAAATTAAGGTATATGATATAAGAAAGTGAGTAATAAAGATAAAAATTACATGAAGAATATGAACTTGTAGTTGCAGAAAGAGATATTTTAGGTATTTTTATTTTAATCTATATATATATATATATATTTAACAATTAGGTACTTAGTTAATAAGAAGAAATACAGAAGCAGCTTTATTATATGAAAAAATAAAAATAAATCAATCAACTTTAAAAAAAGGAGAAGTTTAATATTCAGAAAGGTTAGGTGATATTATTGTTTGGAAGAGTAAAATTGCTGATTTGATTAATTAAATAAAAGAATTTAAAGCTTAGGCGAATTTAATATAAGATATGCAGAAGGAAATACATAATCTTTCGAAAGAACTTATAGAGGAAAAATTAAAAGTAAAGGCACTTTCTGAAGAAATTTAAAATCCTATGAATGTGCATAGATGGAGAAAACTTGAAGCAACAGATTCTGAAACATATGAATTAATGACAAAATATAGTCTTTGCAAAAAAGACTTATATAAAAAACAGAAGAGGTTAATAAAAATTATTTATATATATATAAATATTTAAATATATAATTATATAAATATTTAAATTTATAAATTATTAAATCTATAAATACTTTAAATTAATTATTTTTTAAAATATTTCTAAAGGTTATTTAAAAAGAAGATGTAGTAAAAAACAAAGAAGGCGAATTAAAAAAACTAAAGTAAGAAATGAAAAGATAACCTGGTGTTGAAGAAGAATAAATGATTCCTGTATATTAGGATTCTTTGAAATCAAAAACTAAATAAATGAGGGCTATGAATGGTGAGTTAACTATGTATTAGGCTCATCTGAATGAATATAAATTAGAAATTGATAGATTAACTAAGGATTTGTAAGATACAAAAAAGAAGTTTTATGAATAAAAAAAAAGAGAAATGTAAAAAGTAGATATGTTATAAACATAGTAAAAAACAATGGCCATTAAAATTAATTTACCAGACAAAAGATTTACAGGAGGAGGTTTTAATTTGGCAATTTATAATTGATTTTATATAATATAATATATATTAAAAATATATTTTATTTTTAGAAAATAAAATATTAATTTTTATTATTTAATTAAAATTATTATATATATAATAGTTATTATTAATTATTAAAATATATTTATAATTATATAATTTATTATATTTTAATATTTGTAATTTGTATAGAGTATCTATAAAAAATAATTATATATATATAAATATATATATATATATATAAATATATATAATTTATTTATATTATTATTTATTATTTATTTTTTATATTTATAAATATTAATATTAATATAATTATTTATATCAATTTTTTTTTTAATTAGCCTAACGTAATATAAATATTAATATAAAATTATTCAGATTATTCTGATTAATTTTTTTTACTTTAATATTTATTTAATTATTATTATCAATGTAAATCACAATTTTAATTTAACGTTATCATTTTATAACAAACTGAGCAATATTTATAAGATTAACTATTCTAAAATTTTTAATTAATTATTTTAGATAAACCTTATTTCTTACCTTGTATTATAGCTATATTACCTATATCTATAAAATTTTCTTTTGATTATTATTTTGGACAAATTTATGGATTTTAGTGTTATTTTATACAATAATTCATGCAAAATTAATATTTACATTTTTTACAATATATCATATTATGTATATTTTAACTTAATTTGACTATATTATTTAAATACATTTAATAAATATAATTAAATTCATTTTTTTAATCAATTTTATTTTAAAAAAATAAATCAACTTATTAATCTAAATTATATTAATAAACTCTTATACATTTAATAATTTATTAACCGCTTTTTAAATTTATGATTTAATTATTTTTAGGAAGAGGAAAATTATAATTATTTTACAAATATTCCCTATATTAATTAATTTATTAAGTTTCCATACAAATTTTATTACATTCTTATTTTTATTTAATATAAAAACCCGGACATTAAAAAAATACTACTTTTTAAAGAAAGTTTTCCTTTATTTATTAAATAATTAAATTTTTCAAACTTAATTTTAATCGTAAAATAAAATCTAGAGTCGAATATTTTCAACATCTAATTAAATTATATAACTTTTTAGCAATCAGGACATTCATATGTCGTTTTTCCATTATTAAAATAATTATTTTTATAAACAATTATTACAATATACATGTTGGCAATCCAAAAAAGTAATTTATATGTTTTATTTGTAAGACTATTCTTTATTATTAAGATCTACTTCGATTATATCTAATTACTAAAGTTCTTCTTTAAGTAAATTTTTATTACATATTTTACAAAAAATTAATTTATTTTTCTGTTTTCTTTTTTCTTACAAAGCATATTCAAGTTATTAATTTTTATTATTTTAAATTTCTTGTTTTAATTTTTAGTATATTTATTTTAATTGACTGTCAAACTCTATTTTTTTGCAACCTTATGAACATTTTATCGATATTTTATATTTAAAATCAATTATTTATTGAAGTTCTTTTATTTTTTTTAATTCAAAAATTATTGATGTTTTTTATTATATTAAATTTTAATTAATGCATTTTTTATGGTAGTATTATTTGTGATTATTTGGACATTTGGTTAATGTTAGTAATTATTATTAAGACATATTTTTTTATGATAATTACATATCTTAATTTAAACATAATTAACATTATATATTTGAACTTCTTTCTATATTTATTTTTTATTTTAATTTGCAAATATAATGTATACTGTTAAACGCTTTTTCGAAATTGTTTAAATCTATTCAACTTTAAAAATCTTATAGTATGTTATTTATTTAATCCAAAAAATTGTTAACAATATTAATTTATTACATTTTAATCTAATATTAAACTAATGTTTTTATTATTTTTTTTTAAACTCAAAATAAGATAAAAATATTTTTTAATTTCTTTTAAAATTAAATATTGTTTAATATTCTTAATTTTAATTTATTTTAATGATTAAGCATAATTGAAAAAAAAAAAAAAAAATATTATATATAAATATAAAAATTAAATTATATTAACTAAAAAGATAAAAAAAATATTCATTATTAAATCTTAACATGTTTTAAATCAGTTGCTTATTCGACACTTTTAATTGCAGCGGAAAGTTTATGTACAATTTCAGTTAATTATTCAATTGAGCATTTAAAATTGATTGGACTAATTTTATTATTTTAATTTAAAGTTGACAATTCAATATGATATTCATATTTATTTAAATGTTTTATATGTTTAGTTTACAATACATATTCTTATTTCCATTCCACGTCAATTAATTTATTAAAGTTTATACTAGAATCAAATAAATTATAATCTTTTTCTTAAATATATTCAATAAATTAAGAATATTTAGAACAAAAATTAGATATCATATCTTCTGAAAAACCCAATTCTTTTAATACAATTTCTATTTCTAATTCAATAAAATTTTTACGGTTAAATTCTGTTATTAAAAGTAATAATACATTAAATGATTCTATTATAAGTTAATTTTCTTCATCTGTTAAAGCTGTATTAAAAATCTAATTTAATGCTTTTAAATTTACTTTTTCATCTAGTAAATTAAGGAAACATGATTTAAGTATTTTATCAAAGTTTTATACAAATATATTTTATGAAGATAAATTCTTTAATATAGAAGCAAGTTATTCAGATATTTGATTCATAAAAAATAAAATAAAATTAATTATATTTTAATTTATATATTATTTATTTATAAAAATAAACTATATTTTTTAAAAATAAATTTATATGATAATATATTTTTAAATAAATGATATATAAATAAAATTATATAAATATATATATATATTTATAAATTATTATTTATATATTTATTTAATATTTATATTTATAAATACTTTTTTTTAAAATTTATATTTATAAATACTTTTTTTTTTTATATTTTTAAATTTTCATTGTCTTTTTTTTTAGCATCTTTGTTTATTTTATTTCTCTTATTTCAGTCATTATATTATTAATAATTTTTTAATATTTAATATATATATATATTTTTTATATTTTATTAGATTTTCTCTTGCTTACCATTTTTAACTAATAATAGTTTTTTTATTTATAATTTATTTATATTTACTTTTAAATTTAAATCATTTAGTTTAATAATTTTATAATTAAAAGTTTATTTTATTTAAGAAGCTTTATTCATTATATTTTTATAATTACGAGTTTTTAAATAATTTAATATAAAATGAAGACTCCTGATTTCTAGATTCTTTTAAATTATTATTTATAATAACTTTGCGTATTTAATTTAAAGGTTAAAAATATTTTCATTTAACTTTCTAAAACAATACTTTTCAAAATATAAATATCAAAATTAAAAAATATTTTATTATATTCTGAAAATTTCGTTATTAATTAAACATAATTAGTCAAAGCCTATTACTTGAAAATTACCTTCATATATAGGATTCATATTTTAAATTATAATTAACTCAATTAACTACTGGTATGTTTTTAGACCAATTAATTTTAATATTCTGAGTGTATTTTTTTTACTTGTTTCACAATCTTTTAATCAGAATACAGTGGAAACATTCTATTAATTTTGAACTAGGGTGATATGCTAATATGTATGGCTGAGATATTCTCTAAACCTGGATCACAATTAAACTAATCAAATTTTCTTTACAAGTTTTTTTTATTTTCTTATTTCTCTTTAAATTACAATTTTAAGTATAAGTTTTCTTTATAAATAAATTAATTATTTATATATGTTTTCTATTGACTTATATAAGATATTGTATATAAATTAATATTTAATTTAAAACCTAATTATTTCATTTTTTCAATTTTCAATAAGTCTTTTTTAAATTAATGTAAATATCACAAACCATATTTTATTTTATATTTTCGATAATTGGTCTTTTTATTATCCGTATGGAATATTAAATTACACATTTAATATTTAAGAAAAAGTATATTTTTTTATTAATAAGGAATAATATAAAAATATTTAAAAATAAAATAAAAAAGAGTCCTTAAGAAAATCCATTCGTAAATGTAAACTAAGATACTAAAAACGAAGGTTTATGGAATTCTAGTTTATACAAAAAACTTGTTTTCTTAATTTTAGAAGATTAAGAATAACAATAATAATATTAATATAAAAATCATGAAAACATTTAATGGGATATATTTAATTAATTTTTATAAAATTAACATGAGAACACATATTTAAATGAAATAAAATTAACAGATCCCGCATTTGGAATGCCTAAAATAAGTACTTTTATGTTAGGAATAAACAGCATTTTTTTCGAAAGAGCTTTTAAAAAAAAAGTAGTGGGAAAATGGAAATTTTAGAAGACAATTTTTTACATTAAATGAACCATTCAAAATATAAATCTGTAGGATTTATAAATTAAACATAATGGGAAAAATATTTTCCAAATAAATTTACACATACGATTAATATATAATAATTTTAAAATTAAGAAAAAAATTTATTTGATAAAGTAATTTAATAAATAAAAAAAAAAGATTATGACTTTATTTTTAGATAATAAATATTAATATATATATATATATATATATATATATATATTATATATATATATTTTTTTTTTTATACTATAAAAAATACAAAAAGTATAAACATCATTAAATAATATATAAGAAAGTAATATAAATGAAATAATTAATTCTTTAGATGAAAATTCATTGTTTTTAACAATAAGTATAAGCTCTTAATAATTAATTTTTTAAAAAAACCTTTTTTATTTGCTTATACAAAGTTAGGATTTTAGTAAAATAAAGAATTATTAGATGAAATAGTCCCTTATTAATAAAATAAATACATACACGAAAGTTAGATCTCAAGTACTCTAAGTAATATATTCGGTTTACCTGTTCCTTTTGTGAATTCTGGGATGTAGATTTTTGATTTATATCCTAAGAATATGGGAAAATAGCATTTTTTTTAAAGGATTTATTAAGATAGTTATTAGACATTAAATTAATAATATTAGTTATTAAGATTTCTTTAAAAAAATTATAATTTATGTTAATAGAATGAGTTTTAGGGAATAACTTATGAAATAACCAAACATATATATATTTAATAAAACTAAAACGAAGAATAAAAAACTGAAAAAATATAAAATATTTAGAATATCTAAAACGAAATTTAATTTTTAATTTATAATTTAATGATTCCTTATAATTTCAACTAAATAAAATGCGGATTTATATTAATATTTTTAGTTTTTATTATTGGATTTTATTCTTTTTTATAAAAAAATTAAAGCTTTTTTATATTTTGGAATGCGCTTTTTCTAATTTCTGCTATTGCGAAAAAATGGGATTTTACTAATAATATTAATTAATTTTATTTTTATTTTTTAGTAAGTTTTTCTATTTAGCTTATATTTTAAGGTTTTAAATATTTTCAAAAATAATAAATAAAAAGATAAAAAGTAATCTAGATATTTATTTTGGTGATTATTTTAGTTATTAAATGCTTATTTATTAATATATTGTATAAGGAAAGAGTAGATTTTTAATATTTTTAATCTTTTATTTTCATTTCTTATTAGTTTTTATGTATTTAAGTATATATTTGGGTTAATAAAATTGAAAAAATCGGATTTTTAGCTTTTATTATTTATGTTTTTTCTTAAATTTATTTTTTGGTTTTTGACGAACAATTATAAGGGAAATCTTTTTAGTTTTTTTGTGCTATTTTTTTAGTTTTAAACACTTTTTTTTTCTTTTAAAAAATCAAAAATTTAAACTTAATTTAATGTATGTTTATTATTTAAAATAGTTTGGTAATCTCGTATTTTATATTTTTCTAAAACTTACAAGAAACTTAAATTTTAATTGATTTAATTACTACTTTAATAATTATTTTATTTTTACTTAAGCTTTTTTAAATAAATTCTAAAGTAAATTATGCGATTATTGTATATTTTATTTGTCTAAATCATTTAGATTATTCTAAATTAGAATAAAATTATATTTATAATGAGAATTAGATTTTAAAAATAATTTATTTTAACACTTTTGCTATAATATTTATTAATATTGGGTAATTATATTTAGAAAATGATAATTTTTTATAGAATTTTCAAATAAATAAATAAAAAGATTAATTAAATTAAAATCATATAACAGAATGTTTAAAAATATTTAGTGTTTTGTAATTACTTGAAATTAATGTTTTTATTTTTTTATTTATTAAAGATATTTATATGAATGTTTTTAGAGAAGATAATTATTCTATATATTTAAATAAGTTTCTATATGAATTTTTTTATATTTTTAGTCTAGTTCTATTATTTGGAATATTTTAAAAACTTTTTAAGATAATAGGTCAATTTTAAGTTATAGAACTTTTAAATAAAAAAAAATAGTTTATAAAATTTAAAAATTTAGAAAAATAAAATATTACATAAGATAATATATGAATTTTATATATAAAAAGTGTAATTTGTATTTTTTAATTTAAAATTTTAGTTTAATTTTTATTAATATAAAATAAAATAATCATTAATACATTTTTATTAATATAAAATAATTTTTAATTTAACAAAAAATAAATTTAATTTAAATATTATTTTAATAAACTAGTTCTAATTCTTTATATATTTTGATAAATTTATACAGAGAAAAAATAATTTATTTAAATTTTATATTAAGATATTTTAAAATATGTTTTTTTTTTTTTATTTATTTATTTATATAAATTAATTAAAAACTTATTTATTCTATTTTTATATTATAAATTACATTAAAAGATTTTGCAATATAAAAATAAAATAAATTACTATTTTAAAGTTAGTATTATTTATAAAAAATGGAAGATCTTTACAAGTAATTAGTACTAAATTAAAATCAAGAAAATGAAAAAATATATAACTAAAGTTTATTTAAAGAGCATTTAAGATTAAAATTAATTTCTTTAATTTGATTCAGTAATTAAAAAAATATTATAATAATATTATTATTATATTTAATAAAAATAGATAAAAGAAAAAAAGCATTTAATATTTGACTTAGACGTAAAAAATGTTCTTAGTTTAACATTTGATTAAGCAACAATGAAAGAATATTAAGTAGAAGGATTTAGTACTATATAAAATACACAAGTAAAATTTAAATTTATAAAAAAATAAAAATAAAAATATAGTTTAAAGATTTAATATGTAAATAAGTTATGATATTCATATAGCCAATAATAAAATACATGGAAATAATAAAGACTTTCATTGATGCAAATAATAAAAAAAATTAATAAGAAAAGAAAAACTTTACATTAGTTTTTTGGCCAAAATAAAATGCTTTATGTAAATAAGTTTTATAATAATATGGAATTACAGAGAATTAAGTAGAAGTTATAGATTTTAGTTTCGATTTAATTCCTTTAGATTAAGATGTATTATCCTTAGAATTATAAAATAGTTTTAATAATATTTATTTAGATAATGATTTTTCAACTTTTTAATTCGTGGCAGAATCTATTCAAAGAATATAAGTTGTTTACGGGAAAATTCCAAATATTTTTGCTAAAGGAGATGGAGCTAAAGTATATTTATATATATATATATATATATATATATATATATATATATATATTTATGAAAATTAAATTTAAATAGATAGTACTTGATATTTTAAATTAAGAATAAAATATTTAAAATGATGAATAATAATAAATAGATATAGAGACTTTGATTTTGTTAGATAGAAATATTGATTTAGTAACTCCTTTATGTTCTTAATTAATTTATGAAGGTTTACTAGATGATTTTTATGAAGTTTAAGGGAATATTCTTAAGGTAGATTCTAAAATATTAACAGGATAAAGTGGTAAACCTTAATTAATAAGAATATCAAGTGAAAACAATTAAATATATGAGAACATAAGAAGTAAATAAATAACTTAGGCACGATAATATTTAAGTAGTTAAGCATAGGAAATTCAAAGAATGAAATAAATAATTTCTGACAAAAAAAAAAATGCTTCAGCAGAAGAACTTTAAAAATGCCTAAAAATTGTAGACAAAATTTCTTAATAATAAAAGAAAATTGAAGATCGTAAATATTTTAAATTTCATTTTTTTATATTTTTTTAAAATTTCATTTTTTTATATTTTTTTACAGATGTTAATATATCTTTGAATATTGTTGAAAGAATGAAAACAATAGAATTTTATAAAGATCTTCAAATTGAATAAGGTATAGTTATAGGAGTAAATTCTAACTAATCTTTTGAATATTTAGAAGTTCTTATTGGTTTAGGAGCTCCTATTTAAAAAGTTTTGAAACTTTTTTGTTTATAATCGTTAGTTGATAAAGGTATAAAAGCTAAAGAATTAGATTTTTTAAGAAAAGAAATTTTACATGTTTATTTTTTATTTTTTTATAATATTTTTTGTTTTATTAGGAATACGGATTTAAACATATTTTAACTCTATATAGACTTTCTTAAGCTGGATTATTAAGAAAATAAGATAGTTAAAAAAATTCTTGGCCAAAATTAAGAGAATAGTTAAAATTAATTAACGATGAAGTTGAACCTGAAAATCCAAATGATCCAGCGTATACTTATTCTGGATATTGTCCATTAACGTATTATTTTTTTATTTTATTTTTTATTTTTGTTTTGATTTTAATTTTCTAGAGTAAGATTAATTGAATAATGTTTAAATAAATAAAGCTGGAAGCAAATTTAAGAATAATTAAAATCTATTAATGGATATTAATAATATCCTGAACCTTAATAATATGTAAAATTGTAAAATAAATCAGCTATTCTTGTTTATATTGTCGGAGGTGTTACTTTTGGAGAAATCAACGCTATTAGATTTTTAGCTAAATAAATAGGTTTTTATTTATTTTTACGTTTTATTTTATATTTTCATTATTTATATATATACAGATAGAGAAATTATTATTGCTTCAACTCATATTATTAATAGCAAAAATATAATTTAAAATATAATTAATTATAGTAATTGAATTTTTATGTATTTTCTTTTTATATATTTTTTATATTTTAATATTTTTTTTTTATAAATAATTTTAATTTAAAATAAACTTTATTAAAGTTAAAATAATTTTATGTGTTTTAATTTTCATTTTTTAATTATAATTTTAGTTTTATTATTTTAATTCTTATGTAATTTAGTTTGAACAGTTTTATATTCATTAACAATTTTAGAATATTTTTATTTTATCTATTTAAAATATTATTCGAAAAGCCTTCTAAACTACTCATTTGTTAATTTTATTATTATTTATGGTTTTTAAGGTGCATCTTCCATCAAGGTTGCTATTTATGATATAATAGTCCTAAAAGGCAAATGGTCTTTTGCAAATAAAGTTTCGTTTTTAAAATTTTTTCTATTTTTAAAATCAAAATCTTCCTTTTTTTCTATTTTCATTAAACTTTTTGGACTTGTCCTTAACATTAGTCTTAATTTGATTTTTTAAAAAATAAAGATATAGCATTTTAATTAATAAATAATTACTATGTCCTTTCTAAATTTAGTTAATATTTGTTTTTAAAGCAATAATTTTATAATTTTTTTTAATAATCCTTTAAATTTATTAAGTATTTTTTTTTAAGTGAAGTTAAAAAATTCTCTTTATATTCAAAATAGAAAAAAATTAATTTATTAAGAAAAGTTTATAAATATATAATTTTTACTTAAGATACTATATTTTATCTAAAGTTCAGCTTATTCAAATTTGCTTTAAATTTATTCGTCTATAATTTTACATTCATATTTTATTTCGTGAATAGATTCAAACTTTATTAAATTTCCTAAATATTTAATTAATAAATATATATATATATATATATAAATATATATATATATATATATATATATATATATATATATAATCATTTATAGACTATGTTAAGAGTATGGTAATAATGTTCCAATTGCTTAAGGTTAATATTCTATTTAAAAGTTTTTTTTAGATGAAATATTTTAAGTTTTATTATCTTCATTTTAATTTTTATAATAGATATTTTACTTTAAATTAGTTTTTTTATAAATATATATAAAATATATTAATACTTGAAAGTCTGTTTTATATTTAATTTTAATTAAAGAAGGTATTAGATTTATATTTTAAACAATTTAAGTTTTATTCTTTATATAACTAAAGCAATCAATAATTTATTTTTTATTTTTTAAATTAAATTCATTTAAAATATCTTAATAATTCTTTTTTATTTATAAAAAAATTTAAGTATATTAAATAAATTTACAATATTATTTTCTATATTTTTATCTATAAATTCATTTTATTTAAGAAATTTAAACAAATTTTAATCAAAATATTTGGCATTATTAATTAAACTTTAATCCCACTAAACTGCTAATTAAGTTAACTAAACAATCTTTAAATTAACATAATATAAATAGAACTTTTAAAGGCTTAATAAAATAATAAATAAAAATATAAATATTTTATATATTTTAATTACTTTATAACTATTAATCTTATTCTCAATAAATTAGAACTTATTTTTTAATAAAGTTTTTATTTATAAAAATATAACATAATTCTTCTTACGGATTTTTTTTTTTAAAAATCTTAGACATATTTTCTTAATATATAGAATTAAATAGGGTTAAATTGTTTTATTTATTATTTGATTTTGAATATTTTATATTATTTTTAAATATATCTTGCTTTAATATTAAAAATAAAATTATATTTAGCTTAGCTTTTAAATTAATATGCAATTTTTTAATAAATCATAAAAATTTAATCCAGGAAAAGTGTTTTAATTAATTTTTTCTTTATTTCGATTTCTTTGAATTCTTTAAATTTATTTTCTTTTATTTAAATTTAAAGCTTTAAAAATTCAGGAGATTTTTCGATTTATTTCTATAATATTAGATTTCTCCTATTTGTTATATATAAAATTTAAAATAAAAAAATTAAATAAATTACTTCTCTAAAAAAATATTATGTTTCTTTTCTTTAGCATTCTTTATTCTTTCAGTTAAATTTTTTGTTTATTCATTTAATTTTTAACTTATAAATTGATTATATTATAATGGAGAACTCATGAAATTTAATAATGGTTTATATCGTTTACTTGGCTTTAAACTTTTAGTATCTAAAGTACAATTAATTTTATTTTTTATAACTCCAACAAATTAAGTGACTCTTTTTTATGTATTCTTGCATTCTTTTACTATTTATTTTGTATTTTATGTATAATCGTTTATACTTTTTAATAATTATTCATATTATATTTTTGTTTCTTAATTATTTTAATCTAATTAACATACAGTACTTTTACTTTTTTATTTAACCGATATTATTTTATCTGTATTGTTTTCATTAGGATTTGTTAGTAAATATAACAAATGAGCATCTTCCATACCTTTTTAGATCATATCAATATATTCATATTTCATAACATCGATTTATTAATTAATAGTAATTTTATTACCTATATTATTTTCTAAGTATAAAAATTTATATTATTTAATATTTTTCTTATACATAAAAACTTACATGTATTATATTATATTTAATTTCTTGGTGTGTTTTCTTTTTTTTGGATTATTCTAAAATTTAAAATTATTGTTTAATTTTTGTTAATAATTATAATTTTTATTTACATTTAAATGTGTCTTATTATTCAAATAATGGCATATATAAGGGTTCATTTTATTCCTTATTTATAATTTATTAAGAACATTAATCAAAAACAAACTCAAATTATTCGGAATTGCCATTAAAAACAGAATTAATTTAATTTTCTTTAATATTTAAATTTAATTTTTGAATGGTTTCTTTAAAACTAAAATCTCCTTTACTTGATCTTTTTATTTTATAATTTTAATAATTTGTTTGTTTGTTTATAATTATAAAAAAACCTCGAAGATAGAAGCAATTTTTTATTTTTTTAATTTATTATAAATTATCTTTATTTATTATATTTGTTGTATTATTTTCAATATTTAATTATTAGAAAGAAATATTTCTTTTTTATTTTATTTGATAATTTTCTATATTAATTTCATTATTTTTTTCTACTTTCTAATCGATTTCTTAATTAATTGAATAACAAGAATTTCTCTTTAAAATAAAATATTTTTAATAAAATAAAAAATTATACATCATTAATCATTTAAACTCCTAAGTTTTTAATTTTAGATTTAATATTTGATAAATGAAGATTTTTAAATTATTAAACAACATTATTTAACTGTCCTCCAGGATTATTATTTTCCTAAATAACAACAGTAAATCTATCTCCACAAGCAACATCTAGAGTAAATTTTCTCTTTAAACGATCTACCAATTTAGGTTGAAATTAATCTTTCTAATCTTCATGTCCTAAACACATTTCTGAATAATCTCCCCATGTATAAAGTTTCCCAAATTAATCTATAGCAGCATTGTGTGTAGGTCCACATTAAACCTATTTTATTTGAAATAATTTTCATTTATTATTTTATAAGAAAGCTTTTTACTTTTACGAATTTTACATGAGAATTTGTATTTCCTACAGGCATCAATTATTTAGGTTCAATTACTTTTTTTTTATTAAAAAAAATAATATTTTTTTTCTTATAAAAAAAATACCATTAATTAATGAAATTTCTTAACTTTTTGAATATTCTCCTTTACCCCATGCATATAATAAACCCTAAAATTCGAAATTAAATACTATATTTGATTTTTTTTATTTTTTTTATTTTTTTAAATTTTTTATATTAAATTACTTCGTTTGTTATTGCACACGAATAATATTTACCACAACTAGCTTAAATAACTTTCTTATCATTAAAAAAGGAAATCTACTTAGGATAATATTCTATTTAATTAAAATTATAATAACAATCATCAATTTAATGACCTAACTAACCATAAATTCCATTTCCCCAAGAATATAAGTTTCCTTAAATATCCCAAATTAAGCAATGATAAATACTACAAGCTATTCCTTTAATAATTATACCCTTTTTAATTTATGTATTAAAATATATATAATTATGTATTTACATTTAGTTTTTAAACAGGTAAAGGGACATTTACATATTCTTATCTAATTTCTAAACCTTAACCTAATAGTCCATTTTCATTTTTTCCACAAGAATATAAAATATCATTAACATAAAAGTAAGATTAATTATATCCAGCACATATTTATATTTGGTTAAATTTAGTAATGCTTTTTTCATGTTTATTTACATAAGGGAAATAATTTTTTTTTTATGTAATATTATTTGGAGATTATATAGACTTTTCTGAATGTTTGGTTTTATTTTAAGAATTAATACTATTTAATTGAAAATTTAAATTGTTTTATTAAAAATTTAAATTGTTTTATTGAAAATTTAAATTGTTTTTGACAGATTTAGATTTTCGGATGCTTTTATATGAATTTTGTCTTTAAGAAAAATTATTATGTATAGTTGAGTTGAAATTTTTTAGTTTTTTTTAGAAAGTTTATCTGTAAAATTAACTTTATTTAGAAATATAATTCTAGAAACATGCTTAGTTTAGATATTTTGGAACTTCTATTATATCAGAACCTTTTTATAAAAGTTTTCCTTATGTATTGTCACCCCATACAAAAATTTTATTTGTTTCTTTTTTTTATTTTTAATATAAAAAATAAATATGTTAAATGGTTTATTATTAATACCAGTTAAAGATATTACATGTTCATTATTAATAGATATCTATTTTATTTAATCTTCTATAACATTATTTAATTATGTTATATTAACTGGAGTTTTTACATTAAATAGTTATTAATCTAATAAATACTTATATGGAAAATTTTATTTTTTAAAATTTACTTATTCCTAATTAACCTTTATTTCCAGATCCAAATGACCATAAATTATTTTATTCTATAAAAATATATATTTATTTATATATATACATATATAAATAGTTTTATATAAATTATATAAATATAAATATAAATATATATATATATATATATATATATATTTATATATTTAGAT